GCACATTTTATACAATTGTTGAGTTGCTAGCATAACTAGCCTCTTTGTTCATGGAACATCATTTTTACTTGAAAGCATGACTGACAAACTATAATTATTCAGACTTCGATATAAGGTAGGCATTTTTACTTAAAAATGAACAAAGCAAGGCTATAGTTTCCATGAAAATAACTGGCAAACTAGTGCTAAAATTTAAGCTTTCATAAGAAAATTAGAATTTTAGAAACTTGCATCTGCCACTGTGTGCTTGACAAAGTCCCAATACACTTAAGACTTTTCTGATGAAATCAGTGGCATGAATGTGATTTCTAGTTACTGTAAGATGAAATGTCAATTGTTGAAGGATTTGAATAACCAGTAAACCATTATTTTAAATTACCAATGCATGAGACAAAACCATGCATAGGTAAAAGATCCATTCAAAATGCAAGATAGACAAATGCATTTTAATATAACACAGTAGGAAAAGTTCACTGATGTTTTTAGACTCCATGAGCAAACTACCCTTTAAGAAAGTTTAAGAAATTTGGTGAGTTTTAATAAAGAATCAAAAAAGAAAACCTTCAGTTTTCTGGGTAGTTGTTAAAATACAACTCTCTACCAATTACATATCTGTGTGAGACTGGATTCACTCCATACGCTTCAACCAAAAGAACATATAACAACAGATCAAAACCAAAACCAAATATCTGAATCCAGCTCTCTTCTACTAAGCTAGACATTAAAGAGATTTGTGATAGAAAAAATTAGCCGGGCATGGTGGCGCATGCCTCTAGTCCCAGCTACTGGGGAGGCTGGGGCAGGAGGATCACTTGAGCCCAGGAGTTTGAGGTTGCTGTGAGCTAGGCTGATGCCATGGCACTCTAGCCCAGGCAACAGAGGGAGACTCTGTCCCAAAAAATAAATAATAAATAAATAAATAAATAAATAACGTGATTTGTGTAAATGTAAAACAATGTTACTTATGTCAGTAATTGTTGTTTGTTTTGGAAACTTGCATTTTTATCAAAATGTGTCATTTTTGTTAAAATGTAATGAGTTTATTAATATTTTAAAATAAATTAAGTGTACTTATTTTAAAAATTTTAACAAGGTAAAAACAAAATCTCCTTGAGTATGCATTAAATTTTAGGAATGTAAAGGAATTGAGACCAAAACATTTGAGAATTACTGATCTAAGGAAATTTTCTAGAGAAAAATCTGTACGACAATTTTCAAGTTTATTTTTTATCTAATCTTCAGTCACACACAATTTAGTGAATTATACTCCTAAAGTTTATGAACCTCTATTGTAGATCTAAGCAAGGTCACTCTACCCTACAGGGTTTATCTTTATCTACTTCATCCTCCGATCATTCCCTTTCCTTTCTACTTCACCCACAGGAATTCCTATCACATCACCTGTCCTTTAGGTATAAGTGCCTACTTACAAATAGCATGGTTTTGTGTAATTTACTTCATTTAGATATTATATTTAGGTAGACCAAATAAATTGTTTTCCTCTCATTTTTTATTGAGATATAATTACATACAGTAAAATACCCCAAATCTTTACTGTATAATTTAACTAATTTTTTAATGTATACTGGTATAAGTATATATGTTTTTAATTGAAAGAATACTGTTCCATAAATCTCATTCTATGCCTGCTTTTCTTGACTTATTACGGTACATTTTCAATCAATCTCTCTTCTCTCTGTAGTCTCCCCATTATTTTTGTCTTATGCATAAAATTCATCATGTGCCAGTTTACTTGAATATTACATACCACATCATGTTTTTCCATTCTGCTGGTGATGAACATTTAAGTTGCTTCAACTATTTGCTTTTACAAACAGCATCCTCCTCAATATATCATGGAGGTGTGTGTGAGATACGGATGGCAGCATCATAATTTCTCATTATACACAGTTTCTGGGAGCATAGTCTCCTTGCCTGATTATCTAGACTGAATTACTCCAACTCTGCCTTCACCCCACCCCCATCATTGCAACCATTTGACTTTCGCCTGGCTTTCTAACTTTTGCAACAAAGCTTCCAATTATGTCTTTAAATTCCAACAATTTTTCCTATTATCCATCTTGAAATCTTGTTTTTTTTTTGAGACAGAGTCTCACTCTGTTGCCTGGGCTAGAGTGCCGTGGCGTCAGCCTAGCTCACAGCAGCCTCAAACTCCTGGGCTCAAGCAATCCTCCTGCCTCAGCCTCCCGAGTAGCTGGGACTACAGGCATGCGCCACCATGCCCGGCTAACTTTTTCTATATATTTTTAGTTGGCCAATTAATTTCTTTCTATTTTTAGTAGAGACGTGTCTCACTCTTGCTCAGGCTGGTTTTGAACTCCTGACCTCCTGACCTTGAGCAATCCACCCGCCTCGACCTCCCAGAGTGCTAGGATTACAGGCGTGAGCCACCATGCCTGGCCTCCATCTTGAAATCTTACTTAAGTTTCTATCTCAGTGTATCATAGGTATTCTCATACATCATCTTTCATATATGTTTACCTTTCATATGTTTTTGTTTGGCATTTGTTTTTATTTGAATCCTAATAATCAAAGTATTTACTATGCTGTATATTATGTGACCCATCTTCATTTTTTTCCTGTTTTTTCTTTTCTTTTTCTTTTCTTTTTGAGATAAAGTCTCCCTCTTTTGCCCAGGCTAGAGTGCCATGGCATCAGCTTAGCTCACAGCAACCTCCAACTCCTGGGCTCAAGCAATCCTCCTGCCTTGGCCTCCCAGAGTGCTAGGATGACAGACGTGAGCCACCACGCCTGGCCATTTTTTTTAATAGCAAGCCATTTTATTCCCCACTAATTTTGGAGGCTATAGTTATCCCAATTTGGATTCTACTTGTCTGTTTACAGATTGGTACCATAGAAAAAGAATGATTTTGTACTACTGATGTTTCATCTGGGTGTGTGAATCTGTCTGCTTTGTGAATCTTTATTCTCCTGGGTATATTTTTAGTAAGTTTTGGATTGCCTTCAAAAACCATAACCCCAGTCTGATCATGAGAAAAATGTCAGGCCCTAGTTGGGATTCTACAAATGTCTGATTTATACTCCTCAAAACCGTCAGGGTTGTCAAGAACAAAGCCTGTGGGAAACTGTCAGCCAAAGCCACCTAAGGAGACATGATGACTAAATGTACCCTGGTGTCCTGGGTGGGATCCTGGGGCAGAAAGGACATTAGGGAAAAACAAAAACAAAAAACTGAATAAAGTATGGACTTTGGTTACTAACAATGTACCAGTATTGCTTCGTTGGTTGTGGCAAGCCTCCCATGCTAATATAGAATGTTAGCATTAATAATAGAGAAAACTATTATTAAGGTATATAAGCCCTATAGAATAGGTCATACATGGGGACTACTCATACTGTCTTTGCGTCTTCTGTAAATCTAAAGGAATTCTAAAGCAATATCCTGTTGAGATTTTTGTCTGGAAATGCAGTTTCCTGTTGATGGACATTTAAAATGTTCACGGCCACAAATGCTGTGGCAGCCACTGTGGACTTGCACTGCTCGTGCGCACGGGCGCCAGGGCTCCTCCGGGGCGCAGACCCGGGTGGGGACTGCCGAGCAGCCCACGGTGCCAAGCCCTGTGCTCTGGGGCCAGAGACGGACTTTCCCGGATGCTGCGTTCAAGGAAACTTTAGCTTACTGGACTAAGACAGATTCTGGGTTGAAGAGAAAGATCTTACTTGGCCTTTCTTTCTTTGCCTCCCTCTCTTTTCTGCCTTCATATCTCCCTCTCTTGTTCATCTCCTCCTCCCAGCCCAGCCTCAACCTGTCAGTGTCCCAAAAGGTCCTCATTTGCTTATTCCTTCCCCAAGCGCTAAGGGAGCTGGCCTGGTACAGGAGCCGATAGAAGTCCTTCTATGTGTGTTTACGAGTTTAGGGCTGAAGGGGGATTGCAGGATCTTGTTTATTGAGCTTGTAAAACATTTTTTTGTAAGGCTGGGCGTGGTGGCTCACGCCTATAATCCTAGTACTCTGGGAGGCCAAGGTGGGCGGATCACTCAAGGTCGGGAGTTCAAAACCAGCTTGAGCAAGAGCAAGACCCCGTCTCTACTAAAAATACAAAGAAATTAATTGGTCAACTAAAAATATATAGAAAAAAATTAGCCAGGCATGGTGGCGCATGCCTGTCATCCCAGCTACTTGGGAGGCCGAGGCAGGAGGATCACTTGAGCCCAGGAGTTTGAGGTTGCTGTGAGCTAGGCTGACGCTATGGCACTTTAGCCCAGGCAACAGAGTGAGATTCTGTCTCAAAAAAAAATTTTTTTTTTTAGAGATGGGGTCTTGCTATGTGGCCCAGGCTGTTGTTGAACTCCTTGGCTCAAGCAATCCTCCTGCCTCAGCCTCCCAAAGTGCTAGGAATACAGGCATGAGCCACTGCACTCGGCCCAGATTTGGGATAGGACATTTCAAGATGTCCTAGCTCTAAAATTATGTAATATGGTATTTTTTCCTATTGGAAAATTCTATTGAAAGTATGATATTCCTTTTTTTTTTCAAGTATTTTTGTTCTCCATGTAGTGTTTTTTAAATATCTTGTAAACTCACGCTGTTTGCCTGCTCTTGAACAATGCAGGTCAAACAAAAAAAATATATACCAAGGAATTTTGACCAGGAAAATGGAAAAGGGTTTCATGGCATCTGTATCACAAACTCTTAACTTCTGTAGGTTAATCACTGTGATAATATATTAAGATGTGTTTTCTTGACTCATATTGTTTCCAATCCAGATGAACAGAACACACCAGTCTTTTACAGTTTTTCAAAACAGAAGACCCTGACTTTTCCCAGTCATGGCCTTCAAATCAACTGGGGACATTGAAAACTCTCCACTGTACATCCCAAGACGGTGTACTTGTCTGAGGGCAGCTCTCCAGTGGCGCCAGTGGGCTCCAAACAGGAAGAGGAAACGAGAGACACGCTTGAACCTGGAGTTTGAATGTATGAACTAGCCTATTTAATGCTTTATCTCTCCTAATTTTTCCACAGAAAATGTGGCAACAAATTGTAGGCGCAGTCGCACCAAATTCACAGAGGATCAATTGAAAATCCTCATCCATGCCTTCAATCAAAAACCTTACCCAGGCTTTGCCACCAAACAAAGACTTGCTTCAGAAATAAACACTGAAGAGTCAAGAATCCAGGTAAGTTACAAGTTCTGTATCTCCAAGATTGGAAATGGAAAGGAAGCAGGAAAAATTATTAATATTATTTGAGCACATATCATGTGCCAGTGCACCAAGGGCTGTGTGTGGTTTATCTCAACTGCACTCAGATAAACTCACAAAGGTGTTGTTCTTAGTTGTTGTTAAAAGTTGTTCTCACTTTGAAAATATAGGGATGCAGTGTGCAAGTATACCTTCAAATGGGAGGGAATGCATGAGCTGGTTTTAAACACATAGTAATTGTAGTAACTATTTATCAATTAAAAATAATAATTAGAGCAAATCCTACTGGGATCAGATTGTGAAGGTGCCAGATGCCAAGCCTTGATCTAAGACTTGGGACTTGACAGCATGTTGACATAGGTCAGTGATGATCTTGGGCTGAGGTATGATAAGAATCACTCAGGTGGAAGGAGCACTTGAGCCCAGGAGTTGGAGGCTGCAGTGAGCTATGATTGCACCACTGCACTCCAGCCTGGGTGACAGAGCGAGATGCCATCTCTTAACAAAATTTTTAAAAGGCCAGGTACAGTGGCTCACGCCTGTAATCTTAGCACTCTGGGAGGCTGAGGTGGGAGGATTGCTTGAGACCAGGAGTTCAAGACCAGCCTGAGCCAGAGTGAGACCCCATCTCTATAAAAATAGAAAAAAATTAGCCGGGCATGGTGGCACATGCTTGTAGTCCTGACTACTCAGAAGGCTGAGGCAGGAGGATCGCTTGAGGCCAGCAGTTTGAGGCTGCTGTGAGCTAGGCTGACACCACCGCACTCTAGCCTGGGCAACAGAGTGAGACTCTGTCTCAAAAAATAAATAAATAGGCCGGTATGGTGGCTCACACCTGTAATCCTAGCTCTCTGGGAGGCCGAGGAGGGCAGATTGCTCAAGGTCAGGAGTTCGAAACCTGAGCGAGACTGCGTCTCTACTAAAAATAGAAAGAAATTAATTGACCAACTAACAATATATATACATAAAATTAGCCGGGCATGGTGGCACATGCCTGTAGTGCCAGCTACTCGGGAGGCTGAGACAGAAGGATTGCTTGAGCTCAGGAGTTCGAGACCAGCCTAGCAAGAGCGAGACCACGTCTTTACTAAAAATAGAAAGAAATTGGACAGCTAAAAGTATAGAAAAAATTAGCCGGGCATGGTGGCGCATGCCTGTAGTCCCAGCTACTCAGGAGGCTGAGGCAGGAGGATCGCTTGAGCCCGGGAGTTTGAGGTTGCTGTGAGCTATGCTGACGCCAGGGCACTCACTCTAGCCTGGGAAACAAAAGTGAGACTCTTTCTCAAAAAAAATAAATAAATAAAAATAAATAAATAAAATCTAAAAGAAGAATCATTACTTTGAAAAAAGGCAGTGATGAAGCTGAAATTACATTAACATATTTAATTATCTCATCTTTTCCTCGTTTAGATATGGTTTCAGAATCGAAGAGCTAGGCACAGATTCCAGAAGAAGCCAGAATGTGAGGAGGTTTCAGAATCAAGCCAAAGCCTTGGACAAGGTCACCTTGGGGAGGAGAATCGAACTAAATCTCGTGCTTCTGTTCTGTTCCCCAGCACAGTCTGTCTTTTATGGAACCAACTGCCACTATGATTAAGAAAATAAAGTGTCCTCCTTGAGAACTTCCTATTTAGGGTTTGGTGGCAAAGGGTTCAACAGGGCCCTGGAAGTTCTTGAGCTATCTGGATTTTCCCTGCTGACGTTCTGCTGGGATCCAGAAGCCCAGACGTGTCACCCTGGGTCTCCTCTAGGACCTTCTGCCTGGGATGGGCTGGGGACAAGTCTTCTCAGGGGAGAGTGAACAGGTTCCAAGTTAGATGGAGATGAAGGATCCGTTTGAGTTCTAGGTTTGGATGTGAAAACTGACCCTCAGAATGTTCCTTGAATCTTACAAACTTCGCTTATGTCTTTCCTAGGAGGAGAAGCCCGACGGAGCCGCACCTGCTACAGTGCCACTCAACTGCACGCTCTCGTCCAGGCATTTATCAAAAACCCTTACCCTGGGATTGAATGCAGAGAACAACTTGCTAAAGAAATTGGGGTTCCAGAATCAAGAGTCCAAGTGAGTAATAAGGAGTCCAGACTGTTCCATTTCCTAAGGATCTAGATATTCAGGAAGGGACGCTGCACTGGCCCTGGGCGGTTCCCTCATGCGCAAGACACATTTCAGGGCCTTTCATGAGCTGTTTTTCTGCCCGGTAGCTTCTCCTCCCAGGTGCTACATGGCTCAATTTCACGTTCCCTATTTTTTAAGACATAGGGTCTGGCTATGTTGCCCAAGCTGGTCTTCAATTCCTGGGCTCAAGCAACCTCCCACATCAGCCTTCCAAGTACCTGGGACTACAGGCAGTTCCAGTGTGCCCGGCTCCTTTTCTCTCTTTTCTACCTGTTGCGATCAATGTTGTGTCCCTCGGGCCCTGAACAGTGCCTGGCACATGACATGCAACAAGAATTTGGAGGATGAATGAATCTTACTTAACATTTGAACACAAGCCAGGCATTTAACCGAAGTCTTTTTTTAAGACAAGGTCTTGCTCTCTTTCCCAGGCTGGAGTGCAGTGGCTTGATCATAGTTCACTGTGACCTCGAACTCCCCGTGCCTCACATCACAGATTGATGGAATTATATTTCACTTTAGGGTTTTTTCAAGAACAAATCCTCAGGCAGGCTGCTAAATGAGCTAAATGTTAAATTTCTCTGAGCTAAATGTTAAATTTCTGAAGTGGACATAATTATAACCTAAGGGATAATTAGAAGGGCTGAAGGGATGAACTGGACATAAAGACTTCAGTCAAGGCCAGGTGTAGTGGCTCACACCTGTAATCCCAGCACTTTGGGAGGCCGAGGCAGAAGGAATCACTTGAGCCCAGGAGTTTGAGACAAGCCTGGGCAACACAGCAAGACCCTGTCCCTAAAAATAAATAAATACCAAAGGAAGAATAGGGATCTTAAAAATACATAAATAAATAAAATAAAAGTAAAAAATAATGGTCTTGGGATTAGGCCCCCAAAGAAATAGCTGTCTCTGTCTGTCACAACAAGAAAACAAGCAACGAGGACATCTGCGTGACATTATCTGCTTTGTCTCTGTTTTACCCACTTAGATTTGGTTTCAAAATCGAAGATCTAGATACCATACCAAGAAACGTAAAAGAGAACCTGACCAATCCTTAGAACAAAACCAGGGACAAGATCTCTGAGGGAGTCCAAGGTAAGCATCCTGTGGTTCCCAACTTGGTCCACGAGAGGAGCCTCCAGGGCTACTTCATGGTAGGGTCGACAGCTCCAGGGAAGTGAGGTGTGTTCCCACCAGGTGCCTTCAGGCTCTATAGAGTCAATGGTCACCATCCCTGAAGACTCTTTTCAGGGTCTGTGGACCTTCTATGGGATTCCAGCACCCACTTTTCCAACTGGAGTCCAGCAACTCCATTAAGATTTTGTTCACTGATGTCTCCTTAGTGCCCTGGACATAACAAATACTCAATAAGCTTTTGTTGAATGTGTGATTGAGTGAATGGAGGAAGAAATCCTTCTTCCAGGGGCAGGCTGGGGCATGGCTTCCCCAGGAGGTAGTAGGTTCCATATTGGATTAAAAACACAAGAAAGGGTTAACTTCTATGTCTGTCCATAGAAACTGACCTCTGAGATTTTTTCTCCTATATTTCCTCCTTAGGTATAGAAGATGCTCAAAATGGCACCAGCCTCACCAGAAACCCTCTTATTTCTCTGAAGCCAGAACATGGTGGACACAAACAAATTCAGTGTATTTATTTTTTATTTTCTGCAAGCTAAGGAAGATAACAGGTGGATGGCACAGTGTGTTTTGATATCATCAACTTGGGCCCCAGATTTCTCTTATAGTCTTGTTAGTCACCTGTCATTCTCCGGTGACTGCAAATGGAGCCTTCTGGGTGCAGGAGAGGGCTTCAGGAGGCAAAGACAGACACTGGGCACCACGCAGCCCGGAGCCTGTGGTCAGCAGACCTTAACAATGAAAATAAACTTAATGGTAATCATTTTTCAGCCATCACAGTATTGGTTGATTCAGCAAAAGTCATCAATGGATGTTAAATCTTTAAAAGTTTGATGAAAAATGAGATGTATATATCATTTCAAAGAATTTCCTCACATATACTCATTTATTACAAAAGGAAAATTAGTAATTTTTCAGTGGCAAAAACTGGCCAATTCCCCTTAACCAAGTGGCTGAGGTTCACTTCGTCAGTAATGGCACAAATCAACATGAGGTTCTTCCTGATATGATACACTAAGGAGGACATGATGTATTGTCTGTTGTATTACTGACTAAAAGTGAGTAAGCTGAGACTAGTCATTAGAAAACGTGAAGCAAACACTAATTTAATGACAGTTTACAGAGTAACATTCCTGCACTTGTCAATAATGGATTGAATAATGAAAATAGGCATGAAGAAAAAGTAGGCTAAATAAAAAAATATTTTAAAAATATAGGCATAAGAGTTCAAGACAAGCTTGGGCAACACAGCGAGATGCCGTCTCTACAAAATAATAATAAATCCAGGTGTGGCGACTCATGCCTGTAGTCTAAGCTACTTGGGAGGCTGAGGTGGGAGGATCTCTTGAGCCCAGGAGTTCAAGGTTATAGCGAGGTATGATTAGTTCACTGCCCTCCAGCCTGGGCAACAGAGTGAGACTCTATCACTAAAAGAAAAAAATGCTATATTGGCTATATATTTTATTTGGAGACATGTTTAAAATGTTGGAAAAGAAAGAGGGATAAGTAGATATATCTTCTAACTCTGAGTCTCTGCCTCCTCCCCACCTCACTTGAGGTTTCAAAAGAAAGTTAGGATAATTTATCTCAACTGGAAATGGGAGAAAACACCTAGAAGTTTTGGCTGCAACTATTCTGAGCTTCCTGCTTCCTGGGATCTGTGCACAGGATGCATTCCTTCTCTGCTGCTCTCTGAGACGCAGCGCCTGCCTTCCTCCTGCCAAGCGCGGCATGTGCGCACTGCTTGGCAAAGCCTAGGCCATGTGTGGGCCTTGGGGTGCAAGGTAGCCTGGAAAATGGCAACTTTAGCAGTTCAGTCATTGCCGCCCGGGGAGGCTAGAGGAAGATTAAAATGGATGCTAGTGAGTACAAACCTCTCCCATGTTTTCTCCATTATCTACACCTCTGAAGATGGACTTTTTCCAAACATCAAATTCCAAGTGACATCAGAAACCACATCCTCCTGGCTAAGATAACAGCCATCTCTCATCCAAAGGGAAACACACATGGTGCCCTCTTCCCAACTGGGGAAATCCACCCCTCTCTGAATTCTTCTTAATTATTCCTTTCATAGTTCAGCTACTGCCTTGTCATTATATCTTGTAATCTTAGGGATTCAATGAAAATAAAACATCACATATATGACAGCGGGGGGAAGAGAAAAGCATAACGTGAGCTCTGACAGCACGAGCAGGAGAGGGCTGCGTCGGTCTTTACCTGGCGGAGAGGCGCAGCCTTTGCTCCTGAGGAGACTGAGCCTTAGGAGCCCTGCTCTTTAGGAGCTGCCCTTAAACATCCCAGTCACTTTGATCTCTGGACTGAGTAGCAACACCCAGAGAGCTCGCTCAGCTCCAGGCGTGTGCCCCTGTCGCATCAGACTGACAGCGATGCCTCCCTGCGAGGCCGCCCCATGGGGAGGCTGCACGAGTGTGCCGGGCCGCTGCGGCAAAGCGCGGCAGCCGGGGCTTGAACCACAGCAAATTATACCCACGGCCCTGGGGACCGGAAGTCCAAGATCAAGCTGTCGTCAGGGTTGGCTCCTTCCGAGTGCCACGAGGGAAGGGCGTTCCGAGCCTCTCTCCTTAGCTTGTGTCGTAGACGGCTGTACATATTCTGTGTCTTCATTCAGGTTTTCTTTCCTCTGTCGTGTGTGTCCAAATTGCCTCTTCCTACAACACGAGCCATGTTGGATTAGGCTCGCCCTAAAGACCTCATTTTGGCTTAATCACCTCTGTAAAGACTTGATCTCCAAATATGCTCACATTCTGAGGTAGCAGGGTTTAGGGCTTAAAAGTGACTTTTGGAAGGAGGACACAATTCAGCTCAGACTGGCCAGGATGCAGCCTCGACTTCTATTTGATGCCACACTTACGTCCCCTTAGGGAGACGTCGTGCTCTTGAATATTAATGCTTATCCCAAAGAGTCCTTCACCTGATCAGGAAGTAAATATTTTGCAAATGGGTCAGAATAGTGGGAAATGTCACAACCACTTCCCCCCCTTGGTTCCTGGATGAGCGTCATTTGTCTAGGGCAGAAATAACTCCTTAAAGAGGTTCGTGCAGGACAGAACCTAAACCTCCCCAATTGCTGACTCAGATGGTGCCACAACTGAACCTCCGACAGGCCATCTCCATTCTCTAATTCCAGGTGATCAAACATTAAATCCAATGAGCATATCCACTGCTTTGAATCTTTTGCTTTAAAAGGAATTCCTTGGTCACAGGCAACAGGACGGGGGATGTGGTGCTGGGGAGCAAGGCTGTCAATCAGAGCTGACTGTGGCCCCAGTGGATGTTCAGCCTTGGCTGAAGGCGGGCATGTTGCTAAATGTCCTACAATGCATAGGACAGCCCCTACAACCAAGGATCATCCCATCTCAAATGTCAGTTGTGCTAAGGTGGAGAAACACTCTTCCAACCATGACAGAGCTTAGCCAAGAACCCAAAGTGTGACCAAGTAAAAACGATTGCTCATCACTCTTTCTTGTTTTCTTGGACACAGATCCCCATCTTTACACAGACAATTGGGAAAGGCAATGCACAAGGCAAAGGGAGAGGTAAAGGAATGATTATGTGAGCCCAGAGGGAAGCTCTGGGAAAGCAGATTTGCAGGCTTGAGCAGTAATGGAGGAGTGCATGAGGGAGGAATTTGAGTTATATGTAGAAGAAGTTGAATTGAATCTGAGTGTCCAGGAAACTTTGGGGTACTGAAGATATGTTGTCTCTATGAGACTCAGTGTTTTTTAAAACTCACATAATTACGGCCAGTTTATGTAAATTATCATGTGGGGACCCACCTTGCTCCAGCAGTGCAGGTGATGCCGTCGTGGGATGGAAGGAACTTTGGCATTGTGTAGGGCAGAGGAATTTGTAGAATAGAGGAAGGGCAGAGGAATTCTTCCAATTGTCGGGAATTTACTCGGGTGGGGCAATGAGCTAACCGCAAACCTTTGCTTCTGGTCATTGCTTGCTTGCTACACCGCTGTATGGGGAGTTATGGGATGAGGTCATTGAAGCACGGGAGAGGGCAACCAACCCGCCAATTATTCAAAGGCAACTAGTAGGGCAACCAATCATTTTGAAGGTCCACGCTGAATCCATGCGTAGTCGGCTTGTGCGCAGCTTTGTGGCAACCATGGGGATAGCAAAGGCATGCGCGTTGTTCCGGTCGGGGTCCCCGCTGAGAGTG